ATCCATCCATCCATCCATCCATCCATCCATCCATCCATCCACTTTTGTTTTAAACTATAAAACTGTCATGAATACCCAATACCCTTTTAAGTGTAAACTTAATTTCAACATGTTAATCTCATCTGTATGTGCTCTGTTTTTATATGGATTTATCGTATGGGGACAGTTACAACAACTGTTACAACTGTCCCCCTTCCTGTCAGCCATGATAAAACCTCATGTGTTAGCTAAATAAGCTCATCTGGAAAATAAGTATTTGGTCAATAACAAAAGTTCAYCTCARTACTTTGTTGTATATCCTTTGTTGGCAATGACAGAGGTCAAACGTTTTCTGTAAGTCTTCACAAGGKTGGCACACACTGTTGCTGGTCTGTTGGCCCATTCCTCCATGCAGATCTCGTTTTGAGGTTGTCGCTGGGCAGCACACCTTTAACTCCCTCTGAAGGTTTTCTATGGGATTTATATCTGGAGACTGGCTAGCCTAGGCCATTCGCCAGTCCTTCGTTGGCCTGCTGGTGTGACTGGGATCATCATGTTGAAAGATCCAGTCTTCCAGCCTGGTGCAGGTCTACATTTTGTTTCTGGTGTCTTACACAGATCTTTGGTCTTCAACAGAGTGGAGTTTGGAGTGTGACTGTTTGAGGCTGGGTGGCACGGTGGCTCAGTTGGTAGAGCTGATGCCTCTCAGCAAGAAGGTCACCAGTTCAAATCCCGGTCCAGGGACCTTTCTGGGTAGAGTTTGCATGTTCTCCCCGTGCATGCGTGGGTTCCCTCCGGGTACTCCGGCTTCCTCCCACAGACCAAAAACATGACTGTTAGGTTAATTGATAACTCTAAATTGTCCCTATGTGTGAGTGAGAGAGTGAATGCTTGTTTGTCTCGTTTGTCTCTATGTGTGGCCCTGTGATGGACTTGCGACCTGTCCAGGTGTACCCCGCCCCTCGCACTGTGACTGCTGGATATGGGCACCAGTGACCCACGCAACCCTGAAAAGGAAGAAGCGTGTACAGAAAATGGATGGATGGGTGTTTGAGGCTGTGAACAGGTGTGTTTATACTGAAAACAAGCTCAAACAGGTGACATTACTACAGGTAATGTGAGGACAGAGGAGCCTCTTAAAGAAGTTACAGATCTGAGACAGAAATCTTGATTGTTATTGACCAAATACTTATTTTCCACCATGATTCCCAAATAAACTCTTTAAAAAAATCAGAATGTGATTTTCTAGATATGTTTTCTCATTTTGTCTCATAGTTGAGGTCTAATTATGTCAATTACAGACCTCATCTTTTTTATATGTGAGAACCTGAACAATTGGTGACTGACTAAATACCTGTTTCCCCCCACTGTACATACCAAAAAAATCAATCACTCTTTTGGAAAAATAAATAGTCTAAATGTTATGTGCATTCTCTGGATTAGACAAAAAACAAAACAAAAGAAAACTCTTCTTGAAAGAACAAATTGTTTATACAGAAAGGGAAGCAAGAGCATTTTGAAGAGGTTTGAATTCCATTTTATTTGAAGAAATTTGGTAAAAAATTGGCTTTTTGGAAAATAATTTTTGTTTTTGTATTCTGACTGAAAGACTTTTTGTTGTTGTTGGTTTTATTGTTACTTGCTGATTGACCTGATCTGCTCAGATCTTTAAGTAAAGAAAACAAGGACTGAATATTGAAGTGCAGCTAATATCTGTATCTCTTTGTTTTTTAGTAACGACAAATGTACAAATGATTCCTCTGTAGAGCCATTAAAATAGTTTTAGGAATTTAAGAAGCAGCGGTGGTGTAATTATTTTGATTTCATGTAACAATCTAAGGTAAAATAAAGATTAATCAGTGATTAATTCTCATCAAAACAAAAATATTTTGGCAAAATTTATCTAGTTTTAAACAATCAAGTATGGAAATTTTTTTATCAAGCTTTGCGTCAGCTTAAAATATTTTATAACTAGACCCTATATTGTTAATCATAAAGACAGTGTCTTGCAGAAATTACGCCAATAACCAATCCATTTTAATGTTTTGCCTGATTAAATAAAGGTTAAATAAAAAAATAAAAGTGTAACATTTCTTGTGTAGACCTGTTTGACAAAATCTCAACCCTGAACTACGAAGGTCTCTGTGAGTCTTTAGAGGGTCAGTATTTAAAATTAACCCAGTAAGTCTGAAAATGCAATAATTACATGGAAAATTACCATGGCACACCTACTTTTAAATACCATAACAGATGTTTAGAAATATGCTAAACAAATGTTAATTTAAATGTTTGATGTTTAGGGAAAAAGAAAAAACTTTTACAATTAACTTCAAGTCAAAACTTTAAGCTTGCACAGTTTAATCCACAACATTAAAAAAAGGTAGCTCAAACAAAACAAATCAATCATACTTGGTTATTTTATTCAAGAAAGAAGAATATTCCTAAAGGAGATAGATTTTAAATTGTTTATACATACAAATCTTAGGTAGAACTACAGCAAAACATATCTGTAAAAAACAAAGATACAACTTTAGAATGCAATACAATTAAACATTTTCTACCAACCCAAGTCTGTGGCAATGCCAAAGATAGCAAACTGCAAGGGAAATGTTAACGAAATGGAAAACTTTGTTCAAAGTCCAGATCCTAACTAAGAGTCCTTCAACCACATGAATTTTACAAACATGATCACTTACATTTTTCCTTTGGTTGTGGAAAAACTCTGACCACCTGCCCAACGGCTTGTCTAAAGATCAGTATCACATCAAAACCAACTAAGCATGGACAAGCCTCCGGTGTCGTTTTAGGCCATGCAAACTTGAAAATCCCTTGCTACATACTGTACAGACATACGGTCTTTCTCCAGTGTGAGTTCGCATGTGTAGAGTGAGAAAGCACGACTGGACAAAGCCCTTTTCACAAATGTTGCACTTGAATGGTCTTTCCCCTGTGTGGTATCTCCTGTGGATCTTCAGTTCYGCAGCAGATCGAAAAGACTTGTCGCAGTCTTCACACTTAAAAGGCCTCTCGCCTGTGTGGATCAACGTGTGCCTCACCAATGCGTCCTTGCCAAAAAARCCCTTTCCACAGTGGTCACAGGGGAACCTCATTCCTTTGTGATGAAAATTATCGTGCTTGAGAAGGCACCTCCTGGAAGTGAAGGTCTTGCCACACTGAGCGCAGGTAAAGATGGCCGATGGTTTGTCGGTGGTGGGTTCCCCGGCGTGATGCACGCGCTCCACRTGTCTGGTCAGTGTGACGCCATGCCTGAACTTCTTACCGCATTCCCAGCAAAGGTACGGGTAAGCTTTGGTGTGTTTCTTCTGATGCTCCACGAGGTCGGAGTAGGAGCGAAACCTTTTTGCGCACTCAGTGCACTGAAAAGGTTGGTAACCAGTGTGCTTCCACTCGTGCCTGATGAAACGYTTCAAACTGCTGAATGTCGTCTCGCAGTAAGGGCAGTTGAACGGCTCCGTGGGGTTGTGAACGTCAAGGTAATGTTTGTGAAGGGCTTTGAAAACTGGGAAGTTCTCCTCACATCGGTTACACTGAAATGGTGTGTGGGATTCTTTGTGCATGGCCAGGGCTTCCGAGTCTCGCACTAATTTCATACACACCTCGCAGTACAATGGGTTGTGTGTCTGTTTATGGGAATCCAATGTTGATTTGTACTTAAACGCCTTGTCACATTCACTGCAGCGGAAACAGTGCTTCACATCCTCCAGGTTCTCAGGATCTACTTGCTGTTCAGTGTAGCAAATGTTTCTTAAATGAAATCTGAATGTCTGTCTGCACTTGAACTCAGCACTGCAGTGTGGACAGTAGAACGGACCTTCAAGCATGCTCTTATCTTCATCGGCGCTCATTCCTGGTTCCCCTGAGGATCTCTCTCTTTCAGGTAGACCATCCTTGTCTTGGGCTGCACTGTCCAATGCTTGCTCTTCATTAAATTCATCACAAGGAGGCCCACTGGATGACTCTTCACCCTCGTCTGCTGTGCTCTCTTGCTCYAGAGTTTTTTTGCTGGGATCTACTTTTGGTAAGGTCGAACATCTGTGCTGCTGCAAGAAGCGCAAACTCTTATAAAACTTTTGGCACACAGGACAAGCAATGGGCAGCTCCTCTGTGTGCTGAAGCATGTGTCGCTGTAAGAACTTGGCCTGACTCACCACCTTTCCACACACTTTGCATGTCCTCTCATCCAAGTCGTTGGCTTTGGCTGGACCACTGTTGCTGGCGTTACTGCCCTGTGCTTTGYTTGATTTTCTCCACTGTGACAAGTACCTCTTCATCTTAAGTCCTCGATTCTTTCGTATGGGTCTCTCCCACAAGACATCAATTTCTGAGTCCTCTTTAACTCCCTTTGCTCTGCTTTCCACTTCAAAGTTTTTGTCCATGGGTTGTTTCTTTTTCCTCCCACGTTTGTTTGGCTTTTTCTCCACCCCATCTAGCACTGTCACCTGTCCATCTTCTCCAATGATCAATGTCTCTGACTGAGCATCATGGTGGTCATCTGCCATTTCTCCCTCACTTGCCTCAGCTCCTTCAGCAGCATCTGTGACCACAACACTGTCCATTTCTGAYTTCACCTCCCCACTCAGACTGAACCACTGGGGTTGGACACAGGCTTCTGAGCCCCTAGTTCCCTCCACGTACACCCCTTTGTTCTCAGATTCCACCTCCATCTCTGAGCACATCGTATACTCGAGACCGCCCTCTGCGTCTGTTGTGGGTTGCTCGTTGACAATCTCAACTCTTTCCACAGGACGGAGGCACAGAGCCGACAAGATGCCACTGTCGACAACATAAGACTCTACAAAAAAAGGAACAATAGTTTAGATAGAAAATGTTTACAACTGTATTACTGGAGCTGCTAAATCAGGGTTCCTGCAGTTTAAGCCAAGTTAAATTTAAGACCTTTTAAGACTTTTTAATGCCAAGTGAAATTAAATTTAAGACCAATTTCATAATAAACACAAATGACAAAAAAAAAAACTGTGGCAGAAACTCATAAAAGTATTTTTGGTTGAATTAATAAAATATTGCTAATAGACCAATTGTTTTTATCTATATCTAACTGTAGCAGAAACATTTTTAGCAGTCAGTTTTAAACTTCATTTAATTTATGAAAAATCATCTAACAACACAAAATTTGTAGTTTTAGGACCCACAGTGGGGTCTTAACCYCAATTTGCTGTAGATGAAACCTTAAAGTGCCTGTGACATCWATTTTTTGTAAGAAAAGTGAACGCGKTTTTGGAAAGACAACRTTAACATATTYTAAAACAAATTTCACGTTGCTCAGATGGACGTTTGTTCAGATATTTGCTGTGAAGTAACAGGAAGTGATGTCAAAGGGGAATGTCTGCATGTAAATATTTAAATATATATATTTTTACCAATTATTTAAATATTTGAAATGAGTTACAATCATCCTATGTACAATGTGTTAACACTTTTAAGACTTGTGAAAGATTGATTTAAGACATTTAAATCTAATTAAGGCCTTATTTTTGGACTGAAGAATTCAATGCCTTTGAAGACTTYAAGGATCTGCAGGAAGCCTGTAAATGTCAAAGAATCACGCTGACATTTTTAGGACTGTATTAAAATGTAATGTCAGGCTCACCGATATCGTCCAAGTGGATGAGTTTCTTTTGTATGTCCAGTAAAATTTTGAGATCTTGAGGTTGAATCAAAGTCTCCATGGTCTCATTTAGAACAGATGAGGTGTCACAGATTAGTGAAGTAATCTAAACACAAACAAACAAACAAACAAACAAACAAACAATGTCAGGCTACTTTTTACATAATCAATAATAAAAATTTATATCAACTGGCTTCAAAAAGTATTGAAACCCCTTCAACTTTTTCAGTTTATAATGTTGCAGCCTGATGTTACCCTCATTCAAGTTCTTTCATCCTTGTTTATCTACAAAGGTCATCAGTGATGGGCTTGTATGTCTTTAAAACACACATAAGATTAATCCAATTTTAAGGGCAAATTGATAAATGAAAGCATAAAATAATTGTGTAATATTTCTACAACATTGCAGTCCTAAAGAGAACAGTCAACAACTAATGTCAATATACACTGTGTATTACAGAAGCACAGAAAGGTATTGGTAAAATTACCAATAATTATTAGCCAATTAGCAGTGGCTGCAAAATTCAAACCAACCAACCAGTGTACTGTCTGGATTGGTTACAAGAAAGCTTACGACTCAGTGTCACACACATGAATCCTGGAACGCCACAAGCTGTGCACGGTCAAACACACTCTGAGGGTCTTCACTGCAAACTCCACGAGGCTGTGGAAAACCACCCCTGAGACCAACTGCTCAAGTCTCCATCAAATGTGGCAGATACCAAGGAGATGCTCTGTCCCCACTGCTGTTCTACGTAGGCCTGAACCCCCATCAGCCAAATCATCAACAAGACTGGCTGTGGATACCATCCCAGAATGGGACCACTATCAGTCACCTCTACATGGATGACATCAAACTGTACGATAAGGCAGCAGGACATTGACAAACTCATCAACACCACCAGGATCTACAGCAGGGACGTTTGGGCTGGAGAAATGAGAGGGAAGGTAATCCACAGAGGGAACTGCACTCCCAGAAGGGAGGACAGTGGACAGTGGAGAGCTATAAATACCTTAGAATACCACACGCAAAGGGCAAACACAAAGAGGCAACAAGAAAAGCTGCAACAGCCAAAAACAGTCAAATTTAGGGCTAGGTAAAAAGAAATACATTTAACTGATCTTGGATCGACTTCATTTAAATTTGGGGAAATCGATTCCCAGGGCACGAGATCGATTCTTCCACATGGCGTCCTGTGTGCGTGTCTGAAATGTGTTTCTATATTTTGTGTCACTCCTGGCTTGCTGTACGTTTACATTCGGTTGACGTTCAGCGCTAATGTTAGCTTTCGACAAGTTATCTGGAGCAAAACAAAAGCAACTAAGGAATCACTAACATTATCAGCTGATTCTCAGCAGAAAAAGATAACAGAGACCATGGTCGCACTCTGAGGCGGTGGCAGGAAACGAAACAAGCTTTGATGAGTGTCACATTACACACTGGAACCAAACATCTGACTGAAACTGTTCTCCACAGCATGTAGAAATAAACTGTAGAAAACATCTTAACGAAATTCACAGCCATGAAATGTTGTAGTTGTATTATTTGTTTCAATAAGGTACAAGTAAAAGTTTTAATAATGTTGTATTGAACACAACAGAAGGTACCAGAAACATTACAAATATACAAGTTTCATACACTCATAGTGGGTAGAAGTATATTTATATTAGTCCACCTCTTCTCCTGCAACCTTATTCTCATCACTTCTTATTAATCAAGAAAAATATTCATTTCTTAAAAATTAATTCCTCCAACAACACTGTTACCTGCAATTCTTTAATTTAAAACCTTTTTTCCTTCAAGATTAAACGGTTTAATTTAAAAGTTTGTCCTTAAGGTGAAGAGAAAAAATAGTGATATTGTATTTTGCATCACAGTTGAACAATTTTCATTATTTAAGAGCAGATCAGATCGTGATTATTTGATTCAGAACCTTATGAATCAAAATCTGATTGATATAAAGAATTGGCCATGAAACCCAGCTGTTGTCAAATTCCCTTGTTTTTGTTGTACATGGAAGACATTTAGGTTTAAGATAAAAAATGTGATTGAGTTTAGAGTTCTGAATGTCGGCTTTTATTTCCATATTCATAAACAGGTATTTCTGGTTAAGAAGGATAAACTAAAATGAAGACCAGAGAGCTTTCTGTGGAGGAAAACCAAGTCATTCTGAAGCTGAGAAAAGAGAGAAAATCAATCAGAGCCAATTGATAAACACTGGGCATCGCAAAGGTAATAAAAACTTATAATTTGACTGTCTGATCATAACCTAACATTACTGGCAAGAAAACTCAATAAGGACTCTGAAGAAGGGCAGGAAATGATGGAGTAACACTAGAAATATTTGAAACTGCAAGACCTGAATCAGGGCTATTCAGCTGCTCTGAGAGCCACAGTTAATGAAGTCCAACAGCACATCAAACAATTAGTCATTATGTAAATGAAAAAAGTATTTCTTCCTTTGAAGAAGTTTATGTTGCTGCATTTAATCGTAATAATAATAGAACAGTATCAAAACAAAAACAACACATTATGTCTCCYGTTTAACACTAATCATATCCTGAAATCTCCAACTTCACAAAAATTCAAACCAATTTTATTTTCACTTTCAGAGTTTTATCTTCAACTGCTTGTAGTTTTAACTGTCTTGGATAGAGCTGCAACTAATGATTATTTTAGTAATCGATTAATCKGTTGATTTTTTTTTTGAATGATCGGCAAAATCATTAAAACACTTAATGACATAAATATGAGTAGATATAAATTCATTTAATTCCTGTATAAATTAAGGATACAAG